AAAAAACAAATTATTTAATTAGATGATGTTTATTTTGTGTTGTAAAAGTTAAATTATAATATAATACTTACGCTCTATGAAATAAAAAAACAAATTATTTAATTAGGTGATGTTTATTTTGTGTTGTAAAAGTTAAATTATAATATAATACTTACGCCCTATAAAATAAATTCACTTAATTAGATGATGTCTTAATAAGTTTTATTTTGTAAAATATTTATTTACCTTTATAGAATTTAGCTAAGTATTATTTTATTATAAAGCAAAATATTAAATTATGACGTAATAATACTATATATTTTTAAAATAGTTATTTTCTGTGTGAGAAAAAAATACCTTCATTCATTTTTTTACTGGGAGCAAGAATTTACCCAAGACCAGTGCATTTATTCCTATTTAAGAAATTGTATCATCGGCTGATTTTTTTAATTGGACCTTTTATTGCCTTTTATTTGAGCCTCAAATTTATGTTGTTCAATATTAATAAACCCCAAAATTATGTCATGTATGTAATCATCTGATCCCATAATGTTTTTAATGTCTTTAGTAAACAAGAGAAATTTATAAAAACGCACATCCAACTAAGGTTGTGGGCGAAACTCCTCCAGAATCAATTGATAGAGTTTTGACAGGTTACACATTAGTTTTGGCAGAGTTTCACATTTGGAGGTTTTGTCAATAATCAGAGTTTTGACAAGGTATATACTAATTGTTCATTAGAATTTTGACAGAGTTTTGACAGTCACTAAGAGATTTTTGCAAGAAACCTTACATCCAACCAATTACCCTACCCCTCAACTGATTAGAATTTTAGTGATCTCAGGTCAGTAATAGTAATTAGCATTAATGAATATGTTGAAGCTAATAACAAATCTTATACCAAAAATATAGTAATCATATTATTATGCCGACCAAACCTTACCAATGCACAATATGTTAAGTAAAATGTTTCAAGAGAATAAGAGGACTCCTTCAACATGAGAAACTTGTACACATCCAATCTTTCATTCTTACCTCCAGATGCAATACAAAAGTTTCATGAAATGTTAGTGTTTTTTATTAAAAAACAGTCATCACTTCATTTTAGGAAAACAGGAAAACAGATAATCAAGGCACCATGCAGTGAAAGTCAGTTTGTTGGTGTTTTTGGGCCATGGATTCAACATTATTCACCATGCAAAAGAAAATATACATGTCTTTTCAAGGGGAAAATGCATATCAATGATATTAGAAGATGTGGAATGGGGTGGATGTTGGTATTAAGGTTTCTGGCCGAAACTGCTTCTATTAGTAGCTGAAATTGCCAAATACTTTGGGCAAAAATTATTTTTTTATAAGCCCAAACTACTTTTGTTATTAGCTGAAATTGGGCGAAATTATTTTAAAGTTGTTTAAGTTAAAACAAATTGGTTCATATAGTTTTTTAATGTCCATGCTTATAAACAATGTTGAGAAGCCCAAATGGCCCAAACTAGTTTGGGCTTTGAGAAAACAGTTTGGACCAGAAACCTTAGTTGGTATGACTTAGAACCAAAAGCATATGTATTTCATCATCACAAGAAGTTGAGTCTAATAATGATAATAAAAATAAATTACCTGAAATGTTAGTAGAATGGTATACTGAAACAATATAGAAAACAATTCGGGGATATGATGCACATTTCCATAGATTTGTTGATTAGTAGTAATACATTGAATTATTTAGGGAGAACCATGGTGGAGCTCTTTCAATTGATCTTGGTTGGAATAGAACAGATCTGGAGTCAACAACAAAAGGTTCTTCTCAGCCAGACTTCCTTTTCTGGTTAAAAGATGCATTGGTATTCAAGGGTGAAGAGAAGGCCTGTGCTGAAGATTTTAAGATGGCTCTTCATGACCTTGATAAAAAATAAAAAATTCAATCTGATTTTATTAAATGGACAAAAATCAAAGATTTTGATTTTTTAAAAGCAATGAGCATTGGGAAAAATGATTTTAGTAAAACAATACTAGTGTAATTAAGAAAAAATGATAATAATGTGCATTGTTAGATTCATTAGCATAGTTTAGATAGATTTTTTATTTGTTTGCCACCATGTAATTATCATTTAATATCTAATAAAAGCATTGAATGTGACTGCATCATTAAGATATTTGCACAAACATTGTGTGTGGACAATGTCTGTGGACATTCCCTTGGAGATTGTCTACACCCATTTAATATAAGGTAAGCAATGTCCGTGAACAACATTCAATATGGAAACTAATGAAACTAACCAAAAAACCTTTTTCCATATGTGTTTTCTTTCTACAAATTAAACTACTACAATACAATTATAGAAGTTACTACACTTATTACTAATTATTTCTTTTATTATTACATTCCATAAAAAATCAAAACGAGTCCAAATTGCCTTTAGTGCCTAGTCTAAAGCACATGTAGGCAAGTATATATATTTACTATTTTTTACATTGAAGTAGAGTATTAGGTGAAGAGATTGCTAAATCAAAAAGTTTTAAAAGTTATGCAAATAATGATAGTTTCATTGAATGATCTTGATTTAATTTAACTCTCTTCTCTTAAATGTTGAAGGCGAATAGAAATTTCATTATTAATTAAAACAATATTTTAATAATTAGTATATATAGTAAAAGAAAGGACTGATTAATGGCTAATCTCCGCTACAAATTTATTCATTATAATTATTTATCTTTTTATTTTATCTTTATTTTAATTCTTAAATTTTGAAATAATAAACTTTTTGCAGTATTTTAAATGGCAGCCTTTTGGTTAACACTGATTATGGTTTGACTTTGGGCCCTTCCTGTCAAATAATTTAGCGCTCGTCAATTAATCAATTCCAAAGTTACTTTGGTTCTCGCTTACTGCCTCTTTCTTGCATCTAGAAGCCTTCGATGAATCTTTTAGCACGCTTAATAGCTGTAAATAAATAAAATGGCTTTTTTACAAAACTCAAAGGCTTCTGTAAAGTTTTTTTTATTCACTTGTGACTAATTTACTTTTGATTTTTATTTATCTGGCCAATTTGGTTTATTTATAAAGAAACTTAAGCAGCTTGTTTAACAGCTTTAAGTTTACGATTATAATAATACTAATATTAGATAACTTGGGTTTTGTTGTATCTAAAATCTTATGTTTTAACTTTTTAGTTAAAAAAAAACCGATTTTTAATGATTTTTTATTTTCTCAAAATGTATTAACTTATACGCACATATTAGTTGCATACTTTTATCACGTGTAGAAGTTTTGTGGTCATCACTATCAAGTGTTGTTTCTTAGGAACACAGAAAGAAAAGGCGCGGCGGTTTGTTGCTCAAATGATTTAATTTATTAGATGCAGGAGGTAATTAATTATTTAGATAGGGTTATGTTGTGTTTTAATACAGAGTTATTGGCATAATTTAACTAATGGTGTTATCAACGGTTAGTGAAATATTGTCCAAAGATCAATCGGAAATGCTAATATAAATTATTATTTATGTGTAGTTTCATTAATATTAAATGTGCAATTTTACGTAATTATTAAAAAAACTTATTCGTGTGCTTTCTTCTGGTCAGTGTATTTATAAGGTTTGGATCCAGATGATGCTTGAGAATTACTCATAATTGTGATGAACATAAATCACTCAAGATTGTTTTAAAGAATTAATTCAGAATTATTTGTAGTAAAATTGATAAATCAAAAGAAATTCAGGACTGTGTTGTTCAATGTGAATTGAGAATTGGAAATTGCTTTGGAATCTTTGGATTGAAGAATATATTAGATGAAATCATTCCATTTATAAGATTCAATCAAACCAACTTTCATGCCATTTAAAACTGCTTTGATAAAGAAGAATATGAAACAAGGTTTCCGGTCTAAACTATTTTCGAAAAAAGTAACTTTGGCATTAGTTTGGGCTTTTCAATATTTTTACATGAAAAAACTATATAAATCAACCTATTTTAAAATTATTTCGCTCAATTTTTTCGGCTACGTATTAATAAAAAATTAATTTATGCCCAGAATGTTTTGACAATTTCGGCTACTAAGAGAGAGGTAGTCTCGATCGGACATCTGATATGAAATATCAACTTACTGATAGATGCCAAGCAAGACTACTACCGATTCAACAAAACTCACATAAAAGTATATACAGTATTAAAATAATTATTTTATAAATTTGAATTGATTCGCTCAGAAACCAGGATGATTTCTATCACAAAGATAGAAAAAAATCGATAAAAAATAAATAATTAAAGAACAAATGATTTATTCGAGTATTTGAAATAATTTTACTCGAACCAAACGAATAATTTGAATATTATCTTCATCCAGGAAGTTTTAAAAAGGTAAAAATATCTTTTTGGATATAATAATTGTTGTTGTTGAAATACATTCATTAATTCATTAATTGAAAGAATTTTTCTTTGACTATTTAGACGAGTGGTCTTTTGTTTTGGAACTCGCGAGTAGAAGTAACCTATTTGAGTTGGTCATTTCCATATTGAGATACATTCTAAAATCGCTTTTCCTTTCCTCTATTTAGTCCGAATGATCCTTTAGTTCGATCAACTTGTTCTTTTTCTTTTTCGTACCGCTTGTTGAAGTATCATTGTATTGGTTTTCATGATTTTGTTTAAAGACACATAAATCCCGAATTTTAAATTAGGCGTCTTTATATGTGATAAGTTGACGATATTCCATCATTACAGATATTTAACTTTATAGAAAATTTGTTAAAATATATAACGGAAATGATATTGAATTTGTAATGAATAAATGATATATAATATATAACATGGTATTGAGACATAATAGTTTGAAACAAATTCGTTCATGTTAGTTACCAAGCGAGAATGACTACAAACCGGAAATAAAACATTCTGTAGCAAAGATAATATTTAATTTTTTTTCTTGTTTTCGTCAGAATGACCCTAGTTGTAATAATGAATGGCATGTCATTAAAAATTAATATGCCATTAAGATATACCTATTTAATAATATATGTACATGCAACTGCTAGAAAATCTTCATGTTGTTATTTTTTTATATTTCTTTGAAGGGATTCGTTATATTTCAATCCAATCTTATAAAAATTGTACATGTATATATTATTATTATTATTATTATTATTATTGATCCATCAATTCAAGTTCTCCAGAACGTCTATTCCAAATATTCAAACAAATGATGTTTTTTCAGGGCAATCAAGGAATAATCTTGACGACCAAAAAAATCAAATATGAAACCTGGATATATATATATAATAATATTTTACGTGAAATGCTTAATTTTTTTTTTAATAATCACTTAACAATTAACTGTGAATAATCAAAAATCTTTATACAAGAAAAAATTTTTTTTTCAATCTTATTTGTAAGAAATAAAATTAAAAAAAAAAAACATAAATAAATAAATACATAAAAATACATAATAAAAATTCTTTATACAAGAAGAAAAAATTGTCTTACTTTTAAATAAAATTTAAAAATAATTATGATTAAATTAAAATTAAAAAAAAATATATAATTTTTGCTCAATTTTCTCATATCATAATAATCATTAAGTAGTTATTTGCAAAGATTACAAATAATACAAATACAATATAAATATAAATGTAAATTACTAATTTTCAAGTTATATTTATATTATTTTTTAATGACTTGGAAAACTTCATATTCTATTACCCAGAATTTACTTAAAGTAGTAACTCTATCTAGATAATCATCTTTATCAGAAGAACAACTATCATATCCATTGAAATTATTTTTCATCCAGAGATCTTTATCACCAAAACAAGGTCCATGAGATTTATCTTTAATTCTGATGGCGTAATTACATCTTGTAACTCTGCTGACTTTACCATCAGTCAAGTTTCCTTGTTTTGGGAATGAGAAAAGAAAACTGTTTTGTGTTGTCAATCTACTATCACCAATTGACCATTCCAATGGATTATATCCTCCAACCAATTCACCAGAATATGCAATCTGCATCACAACAACTGTTGGTCCTTTGTGATCACATTTCTCATGAAACACCTCACTATCGAATCCATCCAATGATCCCCTAACTAATAATTTGAATTTGTATGGGATTTCATTATATGTGTAACCTTTACCATCCTTACGATCTATCCAATCCACTAATCTTGCAACTTGTTCAGCCTTTAGAAGCGTTGAATCAAAATGGAGAGATCTTGGTGGCAGGATTTTTGTGTTGGGGATAAGTTTGGATATTGAGCTAACGGAAAAATTTGGCAAACAGGAACGTTTAAAATGAAATTTTAAAATATCATCAAATAAATTTTTTGGTAGGATTTGACTAAACGGCAAGATATTGTCATGAAAATCATTTGCTGTAATTTGGAAAAATCTGATCAATGGTATACAATTATGTAATAATCTTTCCAACTCCATAAATTCTTTTTTGTCCCAATTAGAAATATCAATTTGTTTATCATCCATAATAATATCTTGTTGCTCGCTCCCTCCTTTCTTTTCCTCCTCGCCATCTTTTTCTACCATGACCATCTCTTCCTTATCTTCTATATCCATTGTTCCCATTTTTCCATTAATATCATCAACGTCAGATTTTAATGAAGAGAGATTAGCAACAGCAGATGATGACATTTGTGAAACACCCCATTTGATCAAATAGTTCCAAATTTCTATTTCTTCAATTTGTAAATTATCTCTTTCCAACAAAGGAATTAATAACGTTTCATCAAATGAATAAAATTCTTTGGATTTAAAGAGTATCAAAGGATTTTTACATATGATTTCCAAACAAAAATTCTTTAGTCTATTGCAGTTTTCGTTGGAATGGATTGCGCGATGAACATGAACAACGTTTTTTTTTACCCATTCAGTTTTTGAATCCAATAAATAATGTTGTACATGATCAAACAATTCCTCTAACAACAATTCATCTGCTGTAATAAGCAAATCAAGTATATCCATATTATCTTGTCCGCTTAAATCAATCCTTCCACTATAAACATATCTATAAATCAAAAAAAAAAAATTTTTTTTTTACAAGTTAATAATAATATATAAAAATCAAATTATAAAAAATTTTCAATTAATCAATTAGTCTGATTCTTTACCTAAGAATAAGATCAAACACAATTGGTGTAGTGTTGGGTTTAATGAAAACGATTGAGTTTCCTTCTTTCCTTGCCCAATCACTACTTAAAGCTGTATGGAAATAAGGCGATCTTGTTCTTAAAACGACAGAATGAGCGTAGAAAGTTTTTTCATTATGTTCATCTCCTGCTCTAATGATAACATTGAAATCATCCGAATTTTCAAGAAGTTGACTGAAATCTTTGGAAAGACTTTGAAAAAATTCAGTCATGATGAAGAAGGTATTGTCGTTGTCGTTGATTGATTTATCGATTTTACTTGATTGATTGATTGATTGATTGATTGATTGATTTATTTGATGAATTATTGAATTGACTAGGATTTCTAGATGGGTAGAAATAATTAAAGATCAAAAAGAACAATAATTATAAACCAGTACGGTTGGAAACAAAAAAATGGTGTTGATGATTAATGTTGTAGTAGTTGTAGTAGTTTGTTTGTAGGTTAATTAACAAGTAGGTTAAATTTATATGTTTGCAGAGTTTTTTCCAGGGAAAAAAATATTAAAGGATCGAATTGTTAAATGATATATTATTTTAGAAAGTTGGTTACTAAGATAAAAAATAGAAATGGTGGTGAGAGAGAGAAGAATATTATTAAAGAAAAAAAAAAAAAGATTTTCAAATTCTTTTATATAAATGATTAATAATGCAACTGATGTTTTTGTAATACGATAATTAATATATTAAGTATCGAGTTTAGCTTCTTTTGTTTTACAAACAATGTTTATTTATTTATTTACTGCATAAATTTTATAAATTTTTTGTTTATTGTTAGGTGAAAATTTTAAATATTATTTATTATTATTATTTATTATTATTAATAATTAATTATATTTAAAAATAGTTTTTCTTATTGGAAACTTTGAAAATTACCACTAATACTATGATAACATACAAGATTGCAGTTGGATCATTGTCGTTTATCAAGTTTTATTCCGTTTTGTGGTTTATTTTCTATAAAAAAAAAAAGATCCAATGAATTAAAAGAAATTGAAAATATCTTAAAGTTTATTATTTAGTTACGAGAAGCTTATCTGAAGATTTAATGTCATAGAACTTTACTACCGATTAAAACACCGTCAGCACAATAACTCCTGAAATAATGTTTATCCCTGTTGTTTCTAATCTTTTTTTAGACACAATTGTTTCATTACCTCTCTTTCTTTTCTCCATTTCCAATCATAATAATGAATTCACCCTCCTCGATTTTAGAATTTGACTTTTAATCCCCGATGGTTTCTCAACAGCTTGCTACTTGTTTGCGTGATTTGTGATTTGTGAGGAGATAATCTTTTTTTCCCCATCATAATCCTCAACTTCATAATTCCCGTTAGATTAAGCCATCATCTGCATCATAATAAATTTCAACATCGTAAGCATTTGTCCATTTGATTCAATCTTATCATCTTTATTAGATTCATAATGAACCGGTTCCATTTTTATGTATACATATGTGGCAATGATTCTCAGGAAAAGGGACACAAGAATTTGCAAATTTATTATTATTATTATTATTATGAAAAGATAAAATGAGTTATTGAATTAGTAATTTTGATGTATATATTAAGATAATTTATAATCTTTATTGGAATTTTATATAACTTATTATATTACTAAATTCAAGAAATAAAAAAGAATTTTCTATATTTAGAAAAAAAAATCTCTATTTTTAAAAATATTTTTTCATTGTTATTAAAAAAAAAAAATTAAATAAACTAAAACCGATTTAATTTAAACAAAGTTGTTACATATAGCATATTAGCAGCATCAATGGACAGAGAAGAGACTTTTGTATTGAAATATATAATAATAACACACAGCGAGTCTTGATTTATCAGATGCCTAATTTATAATAATAATAAAAGTCCCGATTTAACGGATCGAGGTCTAGTAAATTTTCTCGATATAACCGGATTCAATAATTAAATCTCGGTACAATGAATAGGTTTCCCATACTATGCTTAAATCGCACACTTGAATGAAATTAAAAAAAACTAATTAGTAGAGAACTTTAGAGGATATATTTATAGGGTTGGGTTAAATGATATATAAAGTAGGCGAAACAAGAGAATGTAAGAATTTTTAATGCTTGGGAATTTTGAAATAAAATGAAATCGTTCAGCAATGCCGAATGTAAATTTTTTGTTGAGTTCAGTAGTAATGCCATTTATAATAAATAAAGTGAATTATAATATAATATGTTATTAAATTAGTTGGTTTTATTACATTTTCAGGCATTTAATTTAATTATTGTAAAATTTAATTGTTTGGTTGCCATGGCATGACTAAATTCCTAGGTAATAAATAATTTTATTGGAAATGCCAGAAAGTTATGAAAAACAGTGTATCTAAAAGACCAACCATGCAATTTTTCTGGTGGAAATTATTTATTTAACAAGAATTTATAAAAATGATATTTCAAGTAATTGTGGTGGTGATAATGCTAATAACAATGATGATGGGGATGATGATGATGTCAACAATAATAAAATCGTTACCAACAACAACAATAAATTAAAGATAATAATTTACAATGATGGTAAAAAAAATATGATCAGCATATCATACAAGTAGAATATCAACCTTAAATCAAAATAGTATTAATAATTGTGATACTCCATTATGGAACTTCAGTATGTAAACCTAGAAATCCATCTGTTCCAAAATTAGCGTAAGATGTTGAGATTTATTTGTGTTTTTAGAATATTAATTAATTTTTTAATGATAGTGAGGTTGAAGTGGTTGATAATATAATATTTTTATAAATTATATTATATTATTTTATTTATTTATATATTAAATATATATATATACGATATACGTTTTTATGTCCAAATGATGATGTCGTTATAATAGGAAAAAAAATATTTTTTTCTATTACATAAATAATAATTATAAATAAATTGATAATGACTCAATTGTAGCTTTGAGTGGAGCATAGTCTCTAGCATTTCCAGCTGATAATTTACCAATTTCGAATACATCCCAAGTATCTTTATTTTTATTTCTAATGACAGCACACATTAACACAGCTTTTGAAGTGGCTGCATATCTTAGTTCATAGTTGCAAAGTTCATCTTCAGGCCTATTACTATCATACAAATTAAAACTTGGATTAGGAAAACATCCAATATTAGGAGAATTCCATGACGATAATATAAAATATAATCTTGTTATGGTTGATGGTAAATCTGACAAGTTTGCTTTTATACAATGATGAGCTTTTATATCATTTGAGAAATATATATGTGTTAGAAATACACCAACGAGAACAATGTTGGATTTTTTTATGATTAATTAATTAGATTACCTGTTTGATTTGCGTTGTCCACTTTATCACCTGAATGAGACATATTTGGAATATCTGGATGTGTTTTTGAATTCCAATCGAATCTTTTAAAATATACGTTATCTTGATAAAGAAGACAAGTTCCATCCAAATAATCTACTTTGCCACCAGGAAATCCCCAATGCAAATCAAATGTTAAACTTTTGAGTGCTTGACCTTTGGAAATTGAATAAAGTAAAACTATCAATTGTATGTGACAGTTTTCAACAATTTTATATTCCGATAAATTATTCTCTGTGGTATCATCTTCTTTATGAATCTATACATATATATATATAATATAAGTATATATGTATATAAATGGTATAATTAATATTTGATGTATATAGTAAATTCATAAAACTATTGATTATTATATATATTCCTTTTTTCTTTTTACCTTTAATTCAACTCCATTATAAATTAATTTTTGCTTATTAACTGGCACATGTATTTCTGCTTTTACCGCTTGCTTAAGCTGAAGAACAGTTTTTGTTTTTTCCAAATTTACTCTAACTTTAAGCCCATTGATCATTACAACATAGAAATGTCCGCCGTGTTTTTTCGATTGATTGTTAGGTACGTTCAAAGCTGAAATACTATCGATATCAATCCTAAAAGGTGCTTTATCCCACGCCAATTTTAAATTTGCATTTTCTTTTTGATCGAGAGGTGATTTACACTCGGGACATTGTTTTGTTTTTAAATTACTATTACTTAAATAATTTATTACACATTTCAAACAAAAATTCGGAACATGTTGACATTTACTAGTTATCATATCATTAGGAAATTCTTTAGATAATTTGTTAATTTGACAATTTTTACACTTCATTGTTTTTGTCGTCGTCTATTATTTTCACCTTTTTGCTTTTTGAAATGAATGGTTATGTTACTTTTTTTCTTTTATAACAATTTTTTCAATTGTGTAACATAAGGAAATGAAAATATTTATTTGAGAAAGCCCTCTTTTTGCGTAACATATGTGCGCATCGTGTAATATTATTGGCTAATTGAGAACAAGTTTATAAGGTATATATTAGGGTGTTAAAAAAGTTAGAAGTTTGATTAAATTTAGATGTGGAACTTTGTCAAGATAAGTAAAGTAAAGTGCTTGGCTCACAATATGTGTTTTTTTTGTGACAGTTACTATATAAAAGACTTGAGAGAAGTTCATTATTGTTATAGAAAGTTTTATTTCAAATCGCAATTCACATAACGGAGCAGGCAATGTTGCCAATTGGGCATTACAATGTACCTTTTGAATTGCTGTTTTTGGCAATTTGGACTTTCTATTGATGAGGCAGGAAAAACTTGCGAAAAAGAAATATTTTTCCAAATGAGCAAGTCCAAGACCAAGGTGAAGAAGGAATTGGCGAAAAGGCTTCATCTGCTCCAAATAAAGCTCTGAACGGTTTGGTTTGGTTTTTTGGTTTTATTTGACCCAAAAATTTTAGATATTCTAAATTCACAAAAAAAATATAATAAATTGTAGTTTGGTTTTGGCGAATGTGTGTTGCGAAGTAGAAATGCTGGAAGGATCCTGTTTCTAAATACATACATAGTCTATAATTTTTGTATTAATGATACCGGCTGCAACTTTTGATGATGGTTACGACCATTTTGTTTCCTTTTTGGATTGCGATATGAAACACTATTTTATATCATGGTAACAAAGGACCATTTCTTATCAAAATTAGAACAAAGATCATAATTGAATTTTATCCATTTCATACATAATGCCATGTTTAGATACAGCTGATAAGTCATGAATTATTTTATATATTTATAGTGTAATATATATATATAACCCAATCTTAATTCGAATAGTTTGTTTTATTTGTTTTATTAGCTATGTTTGTTATTTGCTTTATTTATTTTATTCATTTTACTCATTTTATTCAAACTACTCATTTCATTTGAATTATTCGTTTCGTTTTATTTATTTTATCCAACTAAACTTTCAATAATTTGAATAAACTTTATTCAAATAGAATCTCTAATGATGTTCTATTTTTTTCAATTCATATATAAAATTCATTGTCTCCGCCGACTTTTTAAACACATGCAAACTCTTATTGTTTCAGGTTCTAAACTACAATGCATTTGAGTAATTAAGTCTGTGCCTCCAGAAAAACTCGTTCAACCGAGACACTGGTTGCTACAGTAATAATAAGTTTATTAGATTAGAAATCAATGAATTTAATTCTAAATAAGCAGAGTGCAAAATTTAGAATACCAGGGACTGCCAAATTGTTTCTAGCCTAAAGCTCCAAATATAGAAGCTTTATTGGCAGTAGAAACTAAACTTTAGATAATATACGACTAAGTAATGATAAATTGGAATTATTAGAAGGAATCAAATTAATTGAATTTAGTTTATGTAAACAGACAAATTTGTATTAAACAAGTATTTATCATAAAAGAATTTCATTTATTTATTTTTGTTATTTATCAATCAATTGATTATAAAACAAATAATTTTTATCCTTATTAGGTCTCATTATAGAATTGGGAGAGCGCATTCTAATTGATGATAACAAATATTTTAAAAATTTTATTTAAACGAAACTAACCAAGTCACTTTTAACTTATAAAACTTATTACAAAGTTAGTTTTACGCTTCTTATATACATGTTAATTAATTAGTAACCTGTTCAGAGTAATCTAACCTACTAATGGTTATAATGTCCATAACTGACTATTCTGCCCTCTTTGTGTGAGGGCGATTTAACCAATGCCTGGCAAAATAAATCATCATTAATTTCTATATAATAATAACAAATAAATAAACATGTTACGAAATAATAATGCGTGAAAGAAAAAAAAATGCAATGTCGCATGATTTGAAAAAAAATTATGCAATGTCCCATATATAATTCTATTCAAAAAAAAAAGCAAGTTATTATTGATTATATCTATTGATAGTATTTTTAAGAAATGACAAAATCAAAAATTTTTGTCTCGTTTTGGGATAGAATTGATAATTTCAGATCCTATTTCATCTAAAAGGAATTAGTCCAGTTTTTCTTTTATACATGATAAAAAGAGATGCAAATTGACACCTAAATGTGATTTAAATCATGTATATTTATTTTAATTAAAAATACCAACAATGATAACATACAATTGATTGTGATGAAAATGTGGGAGACGAAAATAATAAAAATGATGATGAAACAATTAGAATAGAAGATGGCGTACCTATTTTGTATTATATTTTAAATGCACTGCATAAAATACGCATGATGCGTATGAAATTTTGAAATTCATGCAATTTCCCCATTTTAAAAATAGATTTTGACCAGTCAAATTCTAATTCTGGTAACAATAGTAAGCTTATTATTATTGATTATTGCCAAAAAAATTTTTTTATTAATAATAATAATAGCGAATAAGTATCTAGATATTTTATTTTATTTATAAAAGTAGAATATATATTTTTTACCCTTATATTTTTTAAAAAATTCTAATATATTTTGTTCAATTTATTCTTTTATAAAAATGAGTAATGACTGCATAGAAGTAGTGACAGTCAAGGAAGTAGATAAAGATGAAATATCAGAAAATAATACTAAAAATCAGGCTGGAAATTATATCAATGTTGATGCTACTGGACAACAAACTATAATCAATACACATAATGGATGTCCCATTGATGAAATAAAGTGTAGTCCTAATTATAAGTTTTTGGTAACTCTTAGTAAACAAGACAGATCTATTGCTGGATGGACAGTTAATCCTGATGAAGGAACAATTCAACAAGATGGCCGGGATAATTATTTTAAATATAATTATATAGATGATGTAATTGATGTTTCAGATAATAAATATATACTTAACCATAATAGTAAGTATGATTATTTATTATGCATATTATATTATTTATAAACAATAAATAATAATAAAAATTTGCATCATTTAAACCAATTCTATAGGATTACTTGACTTTTCAAAAAAAAAAACATATGATTATCCATTTGGTATTAATGCACATGTTGGGGGTTTCATTACAAATAATGATTTTATAATACAATCATGGAAATATTTATACAATTATTCATATATAAGTGATAATGGAAATGATAAATTGGTTCATAAATCAATATATAAAATTCATAATCATTATTATAATTATAGCAACATGGATTGTTTTGTAAATTCTGATTATCTTCTATTAAGTGATGAGTTTTCATTATTATCACAATGGAAATTGAAGCCAACAACTATATCATATCAAGATAATTGTTATTTAATATATAGAGAAAATTATACTGATATAATATTTAATCAAGACAAAACAATAATGGCATTATATTATAAAAATAATTCAAAAATAATAGTTTACTCAATAAAACATAGTATTACTATCTCTTCATGTAAGTATTATTTGGCTTTTTTTCTTTCTTATTTTCTTTATTTGTTTATTTATTTATTTTTTATCTTACAGTTGAGTTGGAAAAAGATATCACTATGAAGAAATTAGATTTTATTTATATAAAAAAAAGTCAATTAGAATGTTTATTATTAATATTTTATGATAAAAATATAAATAATTACATTTATAAATTAATAGATCCTTATAATTTAGATAATTATATAGAAATTACATATAAAGAATATAAAGATAAAGATGATATCATATTTGGACCAACCATACCAGATAATAAAATAGTTATGGCTATTAACAATCAAATTTATATCAAAGAAATTATTAACAAAGAAAAATTAGAACAAATACTTATAAAAAGTAGTTATTATTTATATTTATATATAGGACAAACATTAAATGAAATATATGAAAAACTTAATGACAAGGATTATAAAAGAGAAAATAAATTTGATATAGAAACAGGAAAAACTATTAAATGGGCAGTAGAGTATGAAGAAAATTTTGAAGATATCAATATAAAAGCTCAAAGAATTGATAATGAAATAAAAAAAGAATTTACAACAATTGATGAATATGGTCTTGATACTTGGCATGAATTTAAATATTGTCAATTATTAAATAATGATGATTTAATTTTAATAGCAGATATATATATATATGTTTTGTCATTTAATAATCAAAGTTCTAAAATAGTTACAAAGTATATTATTAAATGGTATTATTATTTAGAAGAAATTAAAACAGCTATAGAAAAGAATAACATTGAAGACTATTTATTTAATTTTAATTATGTTGCTAAAAATGATTATTCATATATTGATAGACATCAAATTTCCAGACAACCTTTTAAAGAAATGATTTTATATATGTTGGATGATTTATATAATTTCAAACATGGAGAGAAATTTTTAGGATTAGCATTAAAAGTAAATGATAGCATGCTTGTAGAAAAATTATTTGACTCCTGTCTTAAATATTTTAAAAAGGATACTGCTACAAATATTAGTTTATTAAAAATAATTATATCAGAATTACCAAGATTACAAAAAAATCATCAAAAATTATCAAA